AGATTTTTTGCCCAACGCTAGGCACGGGGACTTTCAAAATTAAGGTCGTAAAATTGGTTCACAAGTGGCGACAGGGGCTTTTTGTTTGGAAGGGCCCTCAGTAAAACTCTTGATTCCTTCACTTAACGGTAAAACTCCGACATTTCTAAGAAAACACCTTTGGAAATTCAATTCTTTTTCATTGTTACCATTGAATAAAGAGGTTTTTATTCAATGTCATTACGAAGTGTGTTTGTTATACTTATAAGTTATAACGATCCTAGTGCCTATTCAAACAAGTTAAAAAGTAATCGTAAACGATTTACATAAAGCGCATTTCCACTTGCATTCATTTCCCATTTGTAAGATGCAACTTCTGTTAAAATCGTAAAAATCCGGTCACAAATATGAAAGATAGCGTTGCACATGGGCAATCCATTTTTGTCGTGCTACTTCAATGTCAGTTTATGAGAAGAATTTCATTTCACTGCTTTTCTAAATAAGAAAGTTGGAAACTAATGTTAGATTTTCCTTTGTTCCAAGCGCCTAAATATCAAATTTCACTTAAATGCTTCCATAAATAAAAAAGTTGGCACTGCGCATGCGCAAAACTAAATTTTTAAATTGGCAACTGGCGCTAGACTTTCCTTTATTCCAAGTGCCTATGTATCAAATTTCATTCAAATGCTTTTATAAGTAAAAAATTTTGCAATTCGGTTTATAAATGATCGAGATGCGAAAAGGGCACTGTGAATTTTGAATCGATTCGATTCAACTTTTGGCATTGCGTATTATATGGCTAAAGCTATGCCCATATTAAATTTCATGCAATTCAGTTCATAACTAACGGAGATGTAAAAGTGATCGAACATTTCTAAACAAAGTTATCGTTCACACGGACAGATAGATGGACAGACAGACAAAGGAACAAACGGACAGACCAACAGGCAGACGACAGATAGCAATGCAAAATTATAAACGATCTCTAGGATCGTTAATAAACGGCAAAAGTGTAAAATTACGGAACATGTAATAGTAGATTACATACCGAGCTGGGAGGTGGTTCATTACCTACCCCGAGGGCTTAAGGTAAGCGCGAGGCGTTGGTTATGAACCACTGACCAGCGAGGTTTGTATACTATTTTACTCACAATCGATCATTTAAGGTAAAGTATATAATTCAACAAGGTGTTACTTTAACTGTCAATAATAGTGACACCGCCAATGTAACCATTAATGTTTACAACAATAGCAAATAGTTTCGTTCTTCTTCGTAATTTGCTATTGCTGTAAACATTAACGGTTACATTGGTGGTGTCACTATTAGTATAAGTTTCATATAAGGACAATATGAATAGCAATTGCAGGTAAGGAAAGTGACAGATGCTAGCCGGGAAAGTGACAGCTAGCCGGGAAAGTCCCGGCTAAGGTGAGTAATGAGTCGCTTCGCAACCGCTATGAAGGTTAGGAATTCAGATAATACTAACCGATTGTGAGTAAAAAACGGTTTTTTGTTTTTTTTACAATAACTTTTTTTGTAAGCGGTACAGAAAAAATTCCTTCCTTGGTGCAAGACTCGACACCATAACGAACCAAATAGCGAAAAAAGTAGAACAATAGCTCTTAAGATAAAGAACTAGTAGCGTCGCAAAACGAGCGGACGGACGGACGGACAAAGTGGCCACAATAGCGCATTTTTTTTTTATTTTTGTGGAAATGCGCTAATAACAGGTAACGAAGACTTTGTAACTAACGAAATGTTATTACAGTAGAGACGCGTTTTGACTTTTAGGACTTCGAAAAAGTTCAACCATATTTTCGTTTTTTTTTTGTATTTTTCTCTGAAACGGTAGGGAAATTTCGAATTAGAACAAGCAAAAGCTTTTATGGAGAATGCATTTTTGTCAAAAAGTATAGTAAAAGTTTTTCTTCTTGTAAAGTCAATCCACATACGGTATACCGATTTTTTTTAAAATTTTTTAGCCGTTTATACCTAAATATACATTTGTTCCCCATGTCTTACATTCGAGGGATGGTGTTTTGTAAATTAGTAATATACAGGCTGATTCAAATTCGAGGGCCACCATGGGTATCTCGGGAACTGTAAGAGATAGGTAGGTAGTAAATTTGGCAAAGTTGTGTATGTTGATGCTTAACAAAAAGTTTTGAAACTGAAAATTCTGACTACTTTCGGAGATATCCGGAAAAAACGAAATTTTGAAAATCGTTTTTGTTTTTTACTGAAGTTATTTACAAAGATATTTAATAATAAATGACACATTATTATGGCCACTTTTTTCCCTCTACAAGATGCTACTTTTAAATTTGAAGTTTGACGTTTCGTCTCCGATTAACTATCATCAACTTTGTTTCTTATGGAAGTAACTTTTTGTGTCATTTGATAGAGAATTTTTTTCTGATTTAAAAAATGTACACATCAATTTTTAATGTTTGTAAAATATCTTTTTTTGCCTTTGTCTTAAATAACGTACGTAAGTAGTTTCTTGCGTTTTTACGAATTAACGTTATTTCTTATTAAAAATAGATGATGTTACCATTGAGTTCACTCAACGATGTTACCATCAAGGGTAACTTTGTCAAATGTAAACTACCTCTACCTATCCCTTACAGTTTACGAGATCCCCATGGTGGCCTTCGAATTTGAATCACCCTGTATAGGTCAATTATTACACATTACACTAAACTACTAATATGTAATAGGTACTATCATTGAATTAAGAGCTTTATTCAATGGTACTATTGCAGTTCAAAAAATTTAATTTGCAACAAGGTATGGATTTTTTACGGTATTTTAATCTGCAATAAGCAAAGATAAAGAATAAGGAAGACGGTCAAAAAATCGTATTACAAATAAACACCCACACAAGGTCGCAGCTTGCCAGACATCAACAACAATATACAACAGCCCTTTGTTCTAAAAATAACGTAAAATTTTGATATTTGTTGTAAAGGAATGTTACCTATCCCCATTTCTATTATTTATTTCATAAAACGATAGGTAGAGGAGGTACCTTTTGCAATGAATAGGAAAGAGAAACCAAATACATTTCGAAGCAAGTAGTTGACAAAATAAAAATATACCAGTGAACGATCTTTTTCTTGCTGTCAGCAAATTCTACTATTACACGCACGCTCTGTTCAACCTTGAAAGAGAATCGCTAAATGATTTAGCATAGGCAACTTACATAGCCTGCTAGTTTTTTTTTTGCTCGTATATTTTTGTCTTTTATTATCCCCATTACACAGTACTAGCCCAGTTAAAAAGTAAGAACAACTCCACCGCAAAATAAAGGCGCTTACCTATTTCATATCTTTATCGTATTTTTTACTGATTCATAAAACTCTTGGTGGCACCCTCTGTGAGAAAGAAGCTGCACTGTTGACCGCGATATTAGTCACAGCTGCGTAGTTTATTTCCATTTCTCCAGTTTACATGCCCATTTTTCAGAACTTCATTCACCACTTTTTTTATGAAAACTTTTGAGCTTCACATGAATTGCCAAAATATAGATAAGTATTCAGGCTACCGATCCCATACACTCGTATTGCTTAAAATGCTCCCTAATTTTTGCAATTAATTCCTAAAGTATGAACTCTTTTGACGCATATTTTCTAGATTTTTTAAACATATATTAATGGACGAAATATCAGTTTATATTGTATGGAAACTATGCTCTGTACATCTATCTACCTAATACATATTTTTGCGATCATATACACCCCTTGCTTATGAAATGGTGAATGAAGTTCAGAGGCAATGCACGCCCCATTGAATTACATGTGCATCACCAGTTGCCTATATTCTCTAAATCCAAACCTTAACAGCAACAAGGTTGAATAACCTAAACAAATATAGAAAACGAGCTCCTGGATATGGCTATAGCAGGTGCAAAACCAAATTTTAAACCTGATGTTAGTTTTCTTTTATTGAAATTGTATATGTATGAAATTTCATTTAATTGGTTCCATAAATAAGAAAGTTGGCACTGCACATCCTACACAAAACCAAATTTGGAAAATTGCGCTACATTTGCTTTTATTCCAAATGGCTATGTATAACATTTCATTTAAATACTTTCATAAATAAAAAAGTTTGCGATTCGGTTTATAAATGGTCGAGATGTGAAAAGGGGACTGTGATTGTTGATCTATTAGGCTCAATTTTTGGAATTGCGTTTTATATGGCTAAAGATATACGCATATTGAATTTCATGCAATTCGGTTCATAACTCACGGAGATGTCAAAAGGGCCTTCCTTATTTTTTGGGCTACATTGCCAATTCACGAACTCCGATCTACAAATTTGATAAAGAATCCATCTACTAAATTTTATCGTAATCGGTCAATTCGTTATCGAGATATCGTGCTAACGGACGGACAGACACCGCAAAATTATAAAGATGTACTCAGTCAATGCTTGAATTTTTGCATATCTCTAGGAATGTACATATGTCTGTAGCCGGCTTAAGAAGAAATCAAAATGTGGCAAATTGATATTTTAATAGACATTGTAGTATCAGATCACTGATCAGTATCAACGTGGATTGGATTACCACTCGACATCGAAGGATGGGAATCATCATTAAACACAACGTTTTGCTCCCTTATGCGGGTCTGTTGTCACAAAATTTGTGGGGAGTGGCTTAACTGCATCTGTTGGGTGAACAGGTAGATGTTACGGTTGATAAAACATTCGGGTTACCCTGTATATAAATATGACGCAATTAAAATGCAAACGGTTTGATTCCCTCCAAACGAACACAATCGACGAAAGCCGAGGAGATCGATAGGAACATGCGTACCTTCATTTTAATAAATATCATCGTCATTATAACATCACTCCAACTAACCCAATAATTTTGATTAGGAGCAACGAAATTCTGAGGCATGCAAGTTTTCATCGACACTACCTATACGAAATCGAATCACTTCGCGCAAAAATAGCTCTTTAAAAATCTAGCAAGGCCATGATAAAGCAAACAGTTTAATTGTCAAATTACCTGAAGGTCAGTGCAATCCATAATTTTCCTATAAATGCTTTTCTCTTTACCACGTATATGATTGAATATCCCCAGCATAAAGCCATCTCTTTGCATACACAATCTACAAATTGTTGCATAACTTCTCCAGTCTTCCGTGGCTTCCATCGTAAAACGTAAATATCGCAGACACTTCGGCAGAATTATACAACTTGGAAACGGTGTTTTGTTCACTTAACTGCACCTGGCAACAGCATAAATATTTTAACGGAAATAATGTGGGGCGACGCCTCGACTTTGTCTCATAACGAATTGCGGGACAAGCGGGGGTCGTCTCTCGTAGACTTGCGCGCGTGGCCCCCTTTGGTCGGTGCTCCCGTGACTCGTGATAAAAGTTGGGTTCGTTCACCACATTGGCGCGTTCTTTAAATTTAAAATGATTTATCCTGCCTATTCCCTCCCTAAGTACCTTATGGTATAAAACGACGATTTATTGGGGTATGTATACCTACTGTGTCAATGTAACGGAAATATTTCATTTCTATAAACGAATTTCGACTTTATTGAATTTCAACTTGCCAAAAAGGGCTCCTATAGGTATACGTGCAGCTGCATACATTCCCACAGTGCACCCGAGGTAAAGTTTTCACGCGTCGCAAATTTATTTACCTACCTTACTAGAAAGTTGTAACAACTCCCGCATACCTACAAGCATAGTGTAAAGAATAGAAAGCTACAAGGTGAATTTTTGTATACCTATACTATTATACTTATAGTAAAATAATACGAATTTTTATAAAAAGTTCTTCGTTCTAATTAACTAAATAGATTAGGTAAATAGATTCTTCATGTTTGTATGGTGGACTTTTGAAATTGCAGGCATTACACTACACGTCATATTCTCTGTAAAGTATGACGATCAGTCAAAACATTGATTTATGTACGTATATCTGTGATATTGGTAATACGATCCAGGCTTGTTACTAAAAACCTAGACTTATTCCGTATTTGTGCTATACATATACATAACATTAGATACATTTTCGTATTTGCGAATATTATATCGTTCGGTAATATAATAAGGATGTAGCATTCTTGATCGTTACGTACCTACACGATTATATAGTTGGACAAACGGTAGGCAACAAATATTGCAACAATTCGCACACAAGATTTTATTTTTGTATGTTGTCAACCAATAATCCAAAACCATTTTTGCAGCTTCGAGATATGTGAATTCCCTAACTTCAGAAACTCGAGAAATCTCGAAATTTCTCTTATCTTAAAAAAACAAAAAATGATCAACTACTACTACCATAGTGTAATTGCACCATGCTAGGATATTACCATTGTTTAAATACTTTACTATTACTATGTATTTGTCCGTCCATCAGGCAAAACACTAAACAGCTCTTGACAGCGTAACCGTTTGGGATCCATTTCGCTGTGTTAACAGTATTCTAATGTCCTGGAGGTAGAGAGCGTACGTAGCATAGAGGAAAGGGCCCACAGAGTAGAAAAAAAGGCAACATCTTACCAGGAAGACGTTCCAGGCTCCCATTGTTTGTGGTTGAATGAATTTTTCAACAGTACAGGGTTGTTCAAATTCGTGATTGGGATCTCCGTAACAGTGAGATATACAGTGCAGGTTAAATGTGACTAAAAAACCGCTTTTAAAATTTTTGAAAAAATTTTGAAAATTAATGAGATATCACCGAAATACTGAAATGGCTAGTTAAGCTTTCATTTTCCCTAGCTTAAACGGACAGAAATGGAGGGTTCCCATTAGTACTTTCTATGGGCACTTTTTTTTTAAGAATCTGAATCGCTTATCAGAATTTCCGTAACACGCTAGATGTCAATGTGGAAGCTATGAGACTTTACTTTCATAGTTCTTATATGGTCGCCACATTGGATTTTTACGGAATGAGATAGAGGACAAAAAAATTCATTTGTATGCATGAGAGACTTGTTATTGCAGTTTCTGGTATGCATCGCCATCACCCGTGGATGCTTTGTTGAGAATGAAGAAACTTTTAATTTTGAAATTTTTTTTGCGAATTTATGTAAAAGTATAGAAAATAGCTAAGTACTATTTATTCATTTGAAAACTTCCCACCACGGATTTATCGAAAACCACTGATAAAAGGAAAAAACGCCGAGACACGTCAAAAGATTAGTCAAGGGGGACAACTGTGGTATCGAGTAATAACTTGTGTAAAAGGTCTTTCGACACCCTTTATTTTGACGTTTGATTTTTAAAATTGGTCGATTCGTTTTCGAGAAAATAGAAAAATCTTCGTTTAATTTATTTAATTGACCTACTTAATTTGTTCAGATAGAAAACAAAAACAAACGATAATATCACTTATTTATTGCAACTGAAAAGAAAGAATTTAATTTGCTGTCAGTTAATTTAATTTAATTTAAATAATTCAAAGCCGCCATGATACACAACATGTTTTTGAAAATGTCCGTTACGATTTTGAACATCGCCTATATCATTGTTTGGCCAATAACGGGCAACATTTTGAACACTTATTGAAATAAAAAGTACTTAAATTTTCGTTTGTTTTTGTTTTCTATCTGAACAAATTAATAAATTAAATGAAGATTTTGCTCGAAAACGAATCGACCGATTTTAAAAAATCAAACGTCAAAATAAAGGGCTTCAAAAGACCATTCAAACAAGCTATTATTCAACACAATTGCAATTTAAAATTTTTAAGGGAATGACCCTGAGGAGGCAGAGGATGAAAAGAGGTGAAGTAGTTTTTTGTTAAAAAGTTGTCCCCCTTGACAAATCTTTTGACGTCTCTCGGCGTTTTTTTTCTTTAATCGGTGATTTTCGATAAATCCATGGTGGGAAGTTTTCAAATGTACACCCTGTATATACAACAGTTGACTCGGCCGTAAGCTCGTCCGCCATTTTGGAGCCCACTGACAATTAACGCTTGCAAAATGTTGTATGTCCTGCATGTATTGTGATACTTATCGTTTAAAGAAAAAATTTCGCAATCCTTGCAAGTTGCAACCATTGGAGGCATTGGAAATAATAACCGTACAACTCCATATGTAAAACCAAAGACTTAGAGGAGATGATAGTCTTTGGTTTTAGTAACAAACATTGCATCCATTGAGTCAAAAATAATACTTCACTAGTAGATAGACACCGCCTGTATAAATTTTGAACCCTCAATTTTATCTGCAGAATATCTCATGTCGACTTAAGTCCAACAGTGGGTATTGTGTGTTTGATTTGTCAAGCACGCCCTTGTGTAGGTATATCGCATTCTCCAACTGTTCCTTTTCTCCTCTCTAATTTAAATTAAAAATTCCAAGGACAGTTACAGTCTTACAGAAAAACGGTTAAACTGTCACATTTTTAGCGCAATTTTGCAAATTGATTTGTAAAAAGGTAGCTTTTAACCTCACTTTGACCGGCTGGCTGGCTCACTGGCTGCAGCAAATGCGGGCCCGTAGAAGAATGCTTGTAGAAAGACGAGGAATGTACATGAACATACCGGGGCCGTGTAATTAACAACTTTAGGCACGGGGCTACATGATGTGAGGTCGGTGACATCTGGGCGCCATCCCCGAGCGTGTTATACTAACCTGGAGGTTTTTCAGTTTTTTCCTATCTTCTTCTACAGTTTTGGTCCAATTGTTTCCAAATTGGTATCGTCGGAAAGATCTTGTAAACACGCAGAACTCCTGCGTGGGGGAATTTTGGTTTTTTTCCAGGGGCAAAATTAACCACCTTTTGCAAGATGCGCGTTTTTGAGGGGTATTCGACTTTGTGGGCGCGCAAAAGTTCCTTAGAGCTCAAATCGCGGTCTCTTTTTCTCGTGTCGCCAATAGAAGCTCGAGCTATGTGAAGTACCCAAAAATTCAGGGAATGTGGTAGCCCCCGACAAGATGTTACTTTGGTGGAGTCAAAACTAATAGAATACTGATCTGCCACCCAAAAATGCGCTGATGTCTCTTCGATCTCACACGAGGATTTTAATAATTTTTATACAGAATGGCACTTTAAATTTCAGCCTGACAATCTATCTGTTCCTGTTTACACTATAATTCTAGAATTTTAGAATTCTGTTATCATGTCTAAAGTTTTGAATTTTGATACATCCATAATAAGTAATAACAGAGCATCGTAAAATGAAATTAAAAAAATCAATTTAGACATTGATTATACAGGCAAATTAAATGACACAGGGTGTTCCAAAATTCGCGCTCACGGACAATGGAGGCTTAATTCTGAGTGTACAGTTAGGGTAAGTAACTGCACACCCAGCAAACTTACACAATGTAAATTCGTCTGGGGATTACCGCTTAGTTCCGAACTGCGAATGCACTACAGATCAAGAACGATTTGATAATGTTTATTTACTATGCTTATACGCTATTTATATCACAGCAATTGTTTCTTAACCTACCTTAACTATTCTAATAAAATAGGAAGTGCTGATGCGTCGACCTAGTCAAGAATGCTTACGATTGTTTTGCATCGTTTGCTGGTTTGTTTCCTAATGTGATTATTGTTCCGCGTTTGGCAGCGTTTTCCTTATTTTTGTTTTTAATTAATTGTATCCTTGACTTGAATTCTTCCTTGTTACCTTATGCTAACGTTCCTAAATTTGGGCTGGCGTATAAATCCTGTTCTAAATGAACACTGAGACAGAACTCACTAGAAAACCATATTACCACTTTTGCGATCAGAGAAATACTTTTCAAGATACGAGGCTGCAACAAAAATGAGAACCACATAAACAATTATTTTGTATTTAAATTAATAAATAATAGCTGTTAAAAATATCCACAATTTGCTGCTAAACATACTTCTGCCCGTGCTTGAACATGCTGAATAACATTATTTATCATTTCTGGTGTTATTCCATGTATTCCTTGAAAAATCTTATCTAAGGCGTCTGTGGAGGAGAGGATAGTCATTGGTAAAACACAAATAACCCTTATTCATACGGTATCACCTGCTCCACTCGCTTGCAAGCTCGTTCGTGTCGAAATCGTGAACTTTCTAAATAATAAGCATCGTAACATGCGTGTAAGACCATCACGGGCGATGTGCGATAAATTTAGATTTGTTGTTTGTTGTTTTCAAAGATTTCTGATAGGGCGCTGGCTGTCGATTTTTGTGAGCGCGTGGTGTGTAGGTTATGGTGAGATTAAGACACAAATGGCAAAAAAAAGAGTTGAGTAATTACACAAGAACAAACTAGCGAGCTTCGATTCTGTGATGGAAACCAACCATTTTTTGTGAAAACCAGGATTATGTCCTTCGATGTAGCGCTTTTTTGACTTTTAATAGCAATGTGGCTACAGTTTGTTTATATCGGCTTCAAAGGCTAATTTTTTTTAATTCACTTAAATCACTTATGATGAAACGTTCAACTTTTGTTAATTTACGACCCAGGACACATGACTCTTTTTCCACAATGGTAAAATTGGAGTTGACTCAGTTGTACCCATACCTCTCTTAAACATCGTTCAGTTGGTATTGACAAATTTGGTTGAGTCAACTCATTTTTTTAAACGTGGTCATGACTGTCGGCAACACTCTGCTACTGGATCTTGCTGGAAATAAACGTCAGTAAAGTATCACTAAGAAACCATCCCTAATGGGGTAGTTTTAAATTAACGCGAGCGTTTGACGCAATTGTTTTGGCAGAGCGGTTTGACACAAACTTTTGGGCACCGAATCGTTTTGGTGCAGAATTGTTTTGGCGCAAATCGCTTGTATTATACATACCTACTTTCCTACTTACAAAATCTAATACTACTGATTAGGATTACCGTTGTAATTTAGCAAGTATTTATGGTTTATGTTGTGAGTTCAGTTCGCAAGCAGCACAAGGAACATATTTCCTAAATACGCCAACATGCAACACTTTGACCGAAAAGGAGAGAAATTAACCGCAGTACCTTCAAATCCACTAACTTTGGAAGAACTTGCAATTCCAGATAACTACCAAATTTATATCAATTCACAAGGTGATTATAATCTAACAGTATTATACTCTTTGTATAATTTAATTTAATGAAATACTTTCAAGTACCTACATAAGTATACCTACCTATAGCAGTTAGTAAAAGTGTTCCTGAACGGATGATAAACAAAAAGGCGCAAACAGTCCCATGGTGGACCCCCCAGTGTAAAACTGCAATAAAAGAACACAAAAAAGTCTACAATCGATATAAAAACAATCCCAATCAAGACAACTTCATAAATTATAAAAAATGCAACGCAATTGCACAAAGAACAATAAAAAGCAGCAAAAGAAAATCCTGGCAGCAGTATGTATCTGAAATTAATACGGATACGAGCGCAACTGATATGTGGAAAAAAATTAAAAGAATTCAGGGCAAATACTCCCACAATAAAATCACTGCACTGGAGCACGACAATAATATGATAACTGATCCACAAGACATAGTGAATATCTTGGCAGAAAACTTCCAGCAAAACTTTAGTAATCTACACTACACGCAAGAATTCATTGACGACAGAGCGAAAATTGAAGCAACCGGTATGGATATTAAAAAGAATTTTCCACACCCCATTAATATCCCTTTCTCCAAATGGGAGTTCGATTCTGCTCTAGGTGAATCCAAAAATAAAGCACCTGGCCCAGATAATATTTCCTACGAAATGATCAAGCAATTACCTGATGATACCCTCAATTACTTACTCAAGTTGTTAAATTATATTTGGTCGGGTAATGTTTTCCCTCATAAATGGAGGGAAGCCCATATAATTCCTATTTTGAAACCCAACAAGCCCAACAAACTATAGGCCCATCTCTTTGACATGCTGTTTGTGTAAATTTTTAGAAAGGATGATTTGTAGGCGATTGATGTGGTTTCTTGAAAGTAATGAGCTAATAAATCAAGATCAGAGTGATTTTAGAAAAGGACGATCAACAGTGGACCAACTGATTGCCATTGAATCAGAAATTCTACAAGCCTTTAACTGCAATGAGCAAGTAACAGCAGTGTTCTTTGACTTGGAGAAGGTTTACGACACAACCTGGAAATTTAACATATTAAGACTTTTAAAGGAATTTGGACTTGATGGAAACATTCTACACTTTGTACAAAATTTCCTGAAAAATAGAACCTTTCGAGTCAAACACAACAGTTTCTTATCATCTCAATACAGGCAGGAAAACGGAGTACCGCAGGGATCCACTCTCAGTGTTATATTATTTATGATTTCGATAAATAAAATAACCACCTCGATATCACCCCTAATAAAAACATCTCTCTATGTAGATGATCTCGCCATATATTACCGCGGAAAAAACCCAGACAATGCCAAACAATTGCTACAGAGTGCAATAGGAAAACTTGAGAACTGGTCCGAGAATACAGGGTATAAATTTTCACCCCATAAAACCAAGACAATTATGTTCAGTCGACGTCACAAAAAAAATTCTCATCCGCCGATTCTTAAACTTTATAATATAGAAATTGAATGCGTGAACCAAGTGCGATTTCTAGGTATGACCCTGGTTCAAAGACTAAGTTGGGTCCCACACATTAAACTACTCAAGAATGATTGTACCACCAAGGTGAGAATCCTAAAAACACTCTCAAATTTCGATTGGGGAGCGGATAAAGAAACTATGATGCGAACATACAGGACACTTATAAGATCAAAGATCGACTATGGCAGTATTATATGTATATTCATCAGCCAAGGAAAAAGTCTTAAAAATCCTGGACCCGATCCAAAATGCAATCCGATTATCAACAGGCGCCTTCAGAACAAGTCCTATAATAAGCATCCTATGTGAAGCGGGAGAACCACCACTGTCTATAAGGCGGCAGCAACTTATTTTAAATTACAGCGCGAACGTGAAAAATTCTGATAATCACCCGACAAAAATATCTATTCCCAGCTATTCAAATGACATCCAGACTAAGAAATCTGCCTCAAGTTGTCCACCAACGGCTGAGAAAAGCATACGACTTTAACCTTGAACAGTTACCTGTATCTACACTAAAAATAAATAAGATGATACCTCCATGGACTCTATCACAACCAAGAATAAATCTGCAACTCTCTAACACCTCCAACAAAGATGACACACATCCCAACATTTTCAAAAACACCTTGAAGGAAATACAGGACCGTCAGCTGAGAAGTCATATCTACACGGATGCATCAAAAACGGACGACGGAAAGGTGGGGGCTGCAGTTGTCGCCAATGGAATTCACCTCGGTTTTTCCCTACCAAGGATGTGTAGTATTCATACAGCCGAACAGTTCGCTATATGGCATGCTCTTAAGCATATTAATGAGGGTAATAACAATAAAGATAGTCTCATTCACACAGATTCCATTAGTGGAATTATGAGTATAAAACAGTTTAACCCAAGAAATCTACTTAGCTCGAAAATCCAACAAGAATTATCTAAGATTCACCGCAAAGTCACATTTATATGGGTCCCTTCCCATATAGGTATAGAGGGAAATGAAAGCGCTGACTCTGTCGCTAGGGACGCGGCAACTTCTGGAGAGTCCCACAACATGATCCTAGCCGAGGATATCAAAATAAAAATTCGAAGTTCCATGTGGGAGAGGTTCCAAAGAGTATGGGATCAACAAGATAACAACAAACTCCGACGCGTAAAAGCAAAAGTCGATGCATGGCCTGCTATCGGAACAAGACGAGAGGAGATTTTTCTTACCAGAGCGCGAAATAACCAGAAGACTATCCTCCTGTTCGCTAGGATTACTAGATTGGACAAAGAATTCTGATGAACGTCGTTTATTTGTGGTTTTCAAAACTGAACTAGTACATGTATTTCTTTCCTAGGTTTTTCCTCTGTTTCTTACCTTTTGTTACTACCTGTTTCCTCCTATCCGAGGTCTTATCTTGTGTGTGTTCAAGTAAGCCGTCTTCACAGACCCGAAGACGTGAATATATGTGCAACTTGTTCTTACCTTATTTCTTCTTACCATAATTTCGAAGTAGTACACTCGTTTTGCGATTAGTGACAACGATCAAAGGAGGGTGTAGCACTAATAACCCAGTACTTGATGAGCTGCACCTTTAAAAAAAAAAATAAAAAAATAAAAAAAAATAAGTATATACTTAGGTTGCTAACACTTGTATCAAGTTTTTACCACCTGCACGTTAGTAAAGGGATGTACTGCATTGGGGTAAAAAATGACCCCCCACTTTTTTCCGTAATACACGTTTTGAAGCATCAGGAATCAGAATCATACAAAATCTCGATTATGTCAGTCTGTATCTACTCCCATCTCCGACTAAATGTCCGAACCAATTGGAACCAAATTTAGAGGTACGATCATCGACAAAAATAATGATAAAATGAAGCTTACTGCCGCTTAGACAACCAACCATACACTATCTACAATGGCAACATTGAAAGGTAAGTTTTCTGGCGGCATCGTTTAAATTATTATTTATACAATGCTCGCGTGGAATCGTGTGGGATGGGCAGCACGGCGTCGCGCATTGTTGTCTTTGTTTCGGCGTTTCTTTGTCACTGCCTGTTGCCTGGAATCTTGATATACAGTATACACATGATATACACACTACAGCAGGTCTATAATTACAAGAAATGGAAAAACAGAATTTTATGCATTATATTCTGGACGAATTTAAGAGACATTAATGCATTACGTATTGGTATCTTCAACTTAGTTTTTCTCTTGATATTGTAGTGCTAGTATTTTTGAACGGCCCCAATAAATATCTTGTTAATGACTTATTAGATAAGTAGTGTGTTAATATCTACGAGTAATATTTTTTACTCGTAGCATTGAATTTATAACTATCCTATAAATTCAATACTCGTAGGTTCATATTATGAATCTTCCATTGAAACGTAATGTGATCTTAAAAGCCGAGGGCGTATACATTTCCATTTCATCAGTTACTTGTTATGAATTAAGTTCACTGAAGTGGTTGCTTCTATTTTTTCAGTTTAGAGTAAAAAGAAAAGGATTCATTGACAATAATTTTCACTTGCGGTTTGGCTGGAAACAACAAAATTTTTTTAAAAACAGAACATAGTGTTTTTTATTATTGAACACGCAAATAAAAAAACACAAGTAGGTACTATTTAAATCTTTGAGTTTTATTTTTTTACTTCGTTTACGATCGTTTACGTGAGCCTATATTTTGTCACTGTACAACAAAACTGGATCATTTAAACTATGTATGTATGTATTTATTAAAAAAAAGAAAATTATCCTGAAAAACCAGTTTTTATTTCAAAGAAAAACAAGATTGAAGATATCACAAAATATACATAATTCGTAAATCTAGGTTTTACCAATTTTTGTAATTTTACCTACTGTAGCGTGTGTCTCAAGGTAGCGGTAGCGACGAAGAAATAAAGAAGCAAAGACGACAATGCGCGATGCCGTGCGGCCCATACTACACCAACAACTTAAGGCCGATTCAGAGTTCTGTAACGGTATGAGGTACGAAATAAGAAATAAGCGGTAACGTAAATCCGTAAGAGGTAAGGGGAAGACCGTTTGCGTCATTCATATGTTGTCAAACTGACGTTTGAGATTGTAGTGCCAAAGGTTATTTTGCTTTTCATAGACGTAGGTAAACGAATATGGATAGTGACATCATAATCATAGCGCTTCTAGTGTTAATACACCTTCAACACAAATGTTTAACCGTCGAATACCTTCTCATCTTAATAAACAAAACATGATTCCGTAAGAGATAATGTATGAAATGATATAATCCATTTCTTACGTCTTACTACTTACGTCTTGCATCTTACGGAAAAACTCTGAATGTCACCAAATTTAATTTAAATGTTTATTTTTCTTATTTCTTATCGTTACCTCTTACCGCTTACCGTTACGGAACTCTGAATCGGCCTTAAATGTTTATTTTTCTTATTTCTTATCGTTATCTCTTACCGCTTACCGTTACGGAACTCTGAATCGGCCTTAAATGTTTATTTATCTTATTTCTTATCGTTATCTGTTACCGCTTACCGTTACGGAACTCTGAATCGGCCTTTACACTTCAACGTAGATAGTGTATGGTTGGTTGCCTAAGTGGCAGTAAGCTTCATTTTAACGAGCTCCTAGCGAGTTTATAATTTTGTTGTGTCCGTCCGTCCGTTAGCACGATAACTCATAAACGAATGGACCGATTACGATGAAATTTTGCAGGTGGATTCTTTATCAAATTTGTAGATCGGAGTTCTTGAATTGGCAATGTAGCCCAAAAAATAAAGTAGGCCCTATTGACATCTTTGTTAGTTATGAACCGAATTGCATGAAATTCAATATGCGCATAGCTTTAGCCATATAAAACACAATTCCAAAAGTTGAACCTAATCGATCAGCATTCACAGTGCCCTTTGCGCATCTCGACCATTTACAGACCGAATTGCAAACTTTCTTATTTATGAAGGTATTTAAATGAAATTTGATACATAGCCACTTGGAATAAAAGTAAATTTAACGCCAGTTTCAAAATTTCGTTTTGCGCACGCGCAGTGCCAACTTTCTTATTTATGGAGGGATTTAAATAAAATTTGATACATAGCCACTTGGAATAAAAGTAAATTTAACGCCAGTTTCAAAATTTGGTCTTGCGCATGCGCAGTGCCAACTTCCTTATTTATGGAGGCAATTAAATAAAATTTGATACATAGGCACTTGGAATAAAACCAAATTTTACGCCAGTTTCAAAATTTCGTTTTGCGCATGCGCAGTGCCAACTTTCTGATTTATAGGGGGATTTAAATGAAATTTGGTACATAACCACTTGGAATAAAAGAAAATTTAACATCAGTTTCAAAATTTGGTTTTGCGCATGCGCAGCTTATTTATGGAGGCATTCAAATGAAATTTCGTACATATTACACTTTAAATAAAAGCAAAACTAACATCAGGTTTAAAATTTGGTTTTGCACATGCTATAGCCATACCCAGGAGCTCGTTTGCTATATTTGTTTAATTTTTTATTTTTTTCGGTGATCTTAAATATATTCTGAAACATAGCTGAAAAGTTTTTGGGTAGAGTCACGCAGTGTGTGAAACTCTCATTTTCGACTAAACGGCTGAACTGACTGGAATAAATTCGGTACACATATTCTTAGACATAAAACAAAGCTGAACGAGCATGCGTAGGTGTGCGGATGGTACCTATCCGTGTTAGAGCCACAGCAGTTCCCATTTACAATTAGTATTATGCGTATGGGCTGTGACGAAGAAAACTGGAAGGAAATAAGAAACCCAGCACTACGGCTCCAGCTGCTCTCGGTGGTAGGGGTGGTTCGACGATCCTGAAAGAAATAGCTATAAATGCTCCGAAAATTTAGGCGCCACTAATTTTTCGATAGTTCCAAGCCGTACAGGAAAAAAATTAGAAACCTGCTCCTGTTGGTCTGGAAATGCAGGGGTAAAACTATAAAAAAAAGAAATAGAGAAAGATAGCGGGAAAGAAAAGGTATTTATTCTTCAAGGAAATCAAGAATTTAACACAGATATATTGTAGGGCGAATGATGATGATTGATAATGGCACGGAATGATAACAGGGAAATAACGGCAAAAAAAAAGAAAAACGGTACGAGATCTCGTCTCACAGTAAAACAATAAAATTTGACTAAATTACTTATTATGATGTGGGGTAGCTGAATTAATGTGTTTTTTTTAAAAATTAACTTAACGGTTTTATTTAAGGTAAATAGGTAACTTGAACTTAGCTGTTCTGGCTCCTGAAATTGTCCAGCAGTTGTTCGGCGGACTTGGCGGTGGTAGACCAGTGGCTAAATACGCGGCAGATTAAGGATAGGGATTCGGGTAGAAGGGAACAAGGGAAAAGAAATTTCAGGGTATCGAAAGAAGATTGAAAACTGAAGACGGACGACTGTAGATTGAAGACGGACGACTGACGACTGAAGACGGACGACTGTAGATTGAAGACGGACGACTGAAGACTGGAGATGGACGAAGACGAAGATTTCTTAGTAGTAGATAGGTACGTATAACAAGTATAGACAAGAAATAACTAAAACTACAAGGCCCTAGAACAAAAACCCCACATTATACAAGCTAAAACTATCACAAAAAGGCTACTTACGAGATGGTGTGGGCCTTAACGTAGAGACAATATATAGATATGTATGCTCAATTAAATTGGTGGACGGTGAAATAACGCTCGGATCCTAAGAGACAACGAAGAAATAGAAAAGGATACAGACAACAAAAATACTTACACAAGGGTTGAAATCCGGCGAGCAAGGGTGACATATATATATATTGGTTGTAGGTAAATTCACAAATACAAATGCGCTTCCTCTTCCACTCTTAATCCCCAAAATAGGGTTTCCAAGGAAGAAATACCAATTCCTTGTAATGAGTGGAGACTAGGTATATGATGAGGGTAGAAATCCCAAAATTGTCGGATAAAAGCGGCTGCAAAAATTCCGCACCTCACAAGCACACCATACAATTGACAATTGACCAAAACGGAAACGAAAACGTAGAAGATTTTGAAAAAAACGAACAGTAGGTAATACCAATAATTAAGGAACATAAAAAGTTAGCGGGAAAAGAAGAATAGATTTTTGAAAAGAGCGGGAAAGAATAGCGTAGTTTACAAGAACTGACAATAGATGACACTGAAAGCGGACCAGAGGCGTAACATGGAATAGTACACATAAGCTTCGAAAATTAGAATAGTGAAAACAGTAAGGAAAGAAAAAAGCGTTTAAAGCGTGAAAAGGTAAATACAATTGTAAGAAGAGAGCAAGAATCCAAAGAAGCGAAGAAATCGAAAGAAGAAATTTAAGAAAATAGACACGCCTATGTGATGAAAATAAAAACAAAATAAACAAATTCCTAACCTAAAAATCAAAATAACTAAAGCAAAACTAAACTAAAAATGGACTTGTAACAGGACAGAAGCTTTATGTATAAGAGTAGCACAAATGGGTAATATCGCCCTCAAAATAAATGTTTATCAAATGCCTCGTGTGTAACTCCAGGGAAGAATTATTTGGATTCTGTAAGGCAACATATTACACAAGTTGTGAATCGGCATCGTCCTTTCTCATGCTTATATCTTGCTATCGTTAATGGGTTAATTTATGGTAGGTATAGTATAAGTGGCTATATTTTTAAAGGTTCTATACTAATAATAAATATCTACTGTTTCAGATTCATTTACTTCATTTTGTTTAGGTATAAAAATGTCTAGCTATTACCAACAACTAATGGAAAACAATTTTAGGAATGCTCAATATTTTAGATCTTGGCACGCTACTTTAACCGAAAAGTCAGCACCCATATAAAGATCCGATTTATAGAATAATCAAACTTTACACAAATCTCCACTAAAATATTGATCAATTAATTATATAGACTAATAGGTATTGTTTGTTTAAACGAAAAATCTTTTTCAATACCTACAAAGAAGTATTGTGGTGACTAAATATAATCAAAAGAAGCTAAACGTATACACAATAAACAAAATTTCAAAGCATCTCAAACAAATCTACAAACTATACTAGTAACTCCTGAGAAATACTTCATAGGTTTTAAAATAATAGTAATAATAATAAACAGAATGCGACTTTTTACATTATATATGTACACTTAATATCATATAGATATATAATCACCACATTTATAAGGCACATTAAAATATAAAACAAAGTAATTATCAAGTTCACACATGGGTATAAGAACTTATAAATTTAAGAGAAAAAATAACATTTTCATATACCTATCTACAATTAAAATATTCACATTCTCAATCATCAGTCATAAAAAATTATGTACATAGGTAAAAATTCTAATGAATAAATAATGTAAAATAAAGGAGAAGAAATACAGTAATTAATTATATACTTAACAATAATCAGTACACTTTTGGATAAGTACACAAAAATTAATTTAACTATACAGCACAGCCCTTTCTAACGCCATACAATGCTTTAAGTTCGGGAAAGATTATTTTTTTAATTAAATGGTTGGTTTTTGCTGACAAAATGTCTCTTTTAGCATCTCTTTTATACACTTTGATTCCTGGCTTATGAACGAGAAATACATTATCCAATATGAGGAAATCGTAATCCAGTACACATAACGCGTAGCCCTGAAATAAAAATATAACAGTTAGAAATTTCTACATACATTTGCTACTTTTTGTAATGTTACTACAACTGGAGATAGTATAATAATATGGTGGGGTTCCATTTGCAAATCGTATCTTATGGGTTAGTTGCCATAGTGCTTATTATTGAAAACAATTAAAAATTATAATCAAGCAAACTTATGCACAGAGGCCGGTGCAGTACAGATCTAGTCTGATGAGTCTGATACTATAACCATTGAATAATAAATCTGATTCTGAATTATTATTCAATGCTATAACCAAGCATCTTATACTGACTAGAAGGGAGCATATCATTCATATAACAAATAAATAAGGTAGACAGGATATGCAGTTACTATCTACATCCATTCGAAAACAATGACAGGACCAATAAGGGTATAACCATTCCATAGTCAGAAGGATCGTCATATAATATATGCAGGGCGAAGTTGTTTCACTTGCACTATAGGGATCTCGTAAACAGTAAGCGATACAAAGTCGCTTAAATAGGCAAAGATATGTAGAATTTTGTGCTGTTAATTTTCCCATTCAAAGTTTCTTGTAGCTTTACAAATAGCGAAGTTATGGCTAAAAAACCGAAAAATGCTAGGAAAAATGTCATTTTCGAGAACTGCAGATCCTCCAAAAAATATACATATATGAAGTGAGAAATACAAATGGAGATCTTCTGTCAATGGTTTCAGGGTTAACTTCAAATGGTCACTTTTTAATTTGTGTGCTATGTTTTATTAGCAGAGATATGAGGAGGTAGTCTGAGACCCGCTTTAGTACAATATACCTACCATGACAACTCAAGCACTTACCTGCGTCATTTTGTCACTTTTTCCTTCCCAACTAAGCCTCTCATCATATAAAGGATCACCATGTGTTCCAATAAAAATTGGTTCCCAGTGAATGTAATATCCGTTTCGTTTCCCGACGTGAAACACGTGCAGATCTTGAGTTTCTTTTTCAGCTCGCCATTCCTTCGATTTGGGTACATTATGGCATCCCGGACAAAGCCGCTTATGAAAAGGCACAGCAGTACCGTTATCTAACATCTCCTTTAACAGCGTCTTGTTCTCGGGAATTTGCTGATTAGCGGCCACCTCAAACAAATGCAGTGGAAAGACTTTTGGATTTTTTCCTAATAGAGGTCCATCGTTTACGGATATCATTTTTAAAAATTGCGTTATTATATTTGGACTAGGATATAACTCGATATCTGAAGCGAGCACGAAATGAGTTTGAGCCATTTCTCTTGCCACATTTCTTCCTACATTGACTGGGTATAAAAGCTTTTTCTGTGCTTTGTACATTTGGTCATTGCTTATATTGAAATACGGTGGAGTCATCGAACAATTGTATAAGTCTTGAAGAACCTTATCATGTTGGGGAACCTGAAATGAACGTTTTGTTAGTTCAAATTTAGTGCAGGTAAAAAAATAAGTAAAAACTATGGTATAACGTTTAATTGTCGAGGTGTAAATTTATTTTCAGTGCAAAATGTAAATTGAAAATTCTATAATAGCACGGACTCATTGCATAATTCTTTACGTATAACTTTTCAGGAATCTATTTGCGTTAGTTTCTCATACAATAATAGACTCAGGTCGTCGTTGGACACCCTGTATTTAAAACAAATTTCTGTTATTATAACCCGAATTGGAATATTATTTAAGTGACCATGCTAAAAGGGAATTATAGTAATGTAACAGTAAAGTAATAATCCCGGTTAGAAATGCAAATGTATTTCACATGTAAATAGAATTCATAAATACTGCTTAACGTGTGTATATTAGGAATGAGGTATCACTTTTTGGCCCGATAGTGTACGTGAAAAACAATAGCGACATTTCTTATATCGTTATCGTGCACATGGGCCGACAGACAGACGGTCATCAATACAAAATTATAAGCGCTCTCGAGGATCCATAACTCGCAAGGTAAAGATCTAGTAGCCACAATAGGGCATTTTTGTGGAAATGCGTTAAAAAACGGATCAAAATTGAAGAGGAGTTTGGAATCATTACAATATACGTTGCACAATCTTGATAATCCTTCACTCAACGATCTTGGCGACGCGGAGGGAATTTTATGGCCGGTGGTAATTATTATTAGGCAACACTTGCAGATTATAACGATATTATCACAGATTTAAATATACTATTAAATCTGTAATATTATGAATTCTTCCCATATAATCATTTTAAGAAAAAATGAATAAACACGTCTTCGAGGCACAGATATGATTATAGCAGTAAATCTTTACCGTTTTCTAAACTTTATTCGATACCTTAAATCAAATTTAGAAGTCACGGTCAGCCACTTTCGCTATGTTTATATTTTTTGCTTACATCCTTAATTATTATTGAGGTTATTTTTGAAACCTCTAATTAGAATCTAACTAAATAATCAATTAGTTTCCGAATGTAAACCTGCAGCTACTTCTGTACACCGTTTCGTAAGAGATAACTATTAATAGCTTTACACGAATTCAGGTGAACAACCGTAACCTATATTGGTATTTTGGTATGCAAATGCAAGGGAGATTTTCTCATTTTTGTCTTTCTTAATAATGTGAGAATGGTGTGATTATAAAACTTCTTTAACATCGATGGATTGCTTACTATTCGGAATAATTGGAATTTGGGATAATTGGCAAACTTGCGGTACAAGTTCATTATTAAAAAAAGTAGGTAACCAAATTTGTAGCAACTTCCTGTCTTCGTACTTAATACAATAATAATATTGGACGTTTTTTTACATTTAATTTTTAGCGCATTTCCACAAAAATAAAAAAAAATGCGCTATTGTGACCACTTTGTCCGTCCGTCCGTCCGTCCGCTAACTTTGCGACGCTACTAGTTCTTTATTTTAAGAGCTATTGTTCTACTTTTTTCGCTATTTGGTTCGTTATGGTGTCGAGTATTGTACCAAGGAAGGAATTTTTTCTCTACCGCTTACAAAAAAAGTTATTGTAAAAAAAACAAAAAACCGTTTTTTACATGTTCCATAATTTTACACTTTTGCCGTTTATTAACGATCCTAGAGATCGTTTATAATTTTGCATTGCTATCTGTCGCCTGCCGGTTGGTCTCTCCGTCTGTTCCTTTGTCTGTCTGTCCATCTATCTGTCCGTGTGAACGATAACTTTGTTTAGAAATGTTCGATCGCTTTTACATTTCCGTTAGTTATGAACTGAATTGCATGAAATTCAATATGGGCATAGATTTAGCCATAATAATACGCAATGCCAAAAGTTGAATCGAATCGATTCAAAATTCACAGTGCCCTTTTCGCATCTCGACCATTTATAAACCGAATTGCAAACTTTTTTACTTATAAAAGTATTTGAATGAAATTTGATACATAGGCACTTGGAATAAAGGAAAATCAAACGCCAATTTCAAAATTTGGTTTTGCGCATGCGCAGTGCCAACTTTTTTATTTATGGAAGAATTTAAACGAAATTTGATACATAAGCACTTGGGATAAAGGAAAATCAAACGCCAATTTCAAAATTTGGTTTTGCGCATGCGCAGTGCCAACTTTTTTATTTATGGAAGAATTTAAACGAAATTTGACACATAAGCACTTCGAATAAAGGAAAATCAAACGCCAATTTGAAAATTTGGTTTTGCGCATGCGCAGTGCCAACTTTTTTTATCTATGGAAGCATTTAAGTGAAATTTGATACCTTGGCGCTTAGAACAAAGAAAAATCTAACATTAATTTCAAAAATTAGGTTTGCGCATGCGCAGTTCCAACTTTCTTATTTAGAAAAGCATTGAAATGAAATTCTTCTTTATAAACTGAAATTGAAATACCACGTCAAAAATGGATTGCTCATGTGCAACGCTATCTTTCATATTTGTGGCCGGATTTTTACGATTTTAACAGAAGTTGCATCTTACAAATGGGAAATGAATGCAAGTGGGAATGCGCTTTATGTAAATCGTTTACGATTACTTTTTAACGATTACTTTTTAACGATTACTTTTTAACTTTGGACAGACAGATAAAGGAACAGACGGAGAGACCAACCGGCAGGCGACAGATAGCAATGCAAAATTATAAACGATCTCTAGGATCGTTAATAAACGGCAAAAGTGTAAAATTATGGAACATGTAAAAAACGGTTTTTTGTTTTTTTTACAATAACTTTTTTTGTAAGCGGTACAGAAAAAATTCCTTCCTTGGTACAAGACTCGACACCATAACGAACCAAATAGCGAAAAAAGTAGAACAATAGCTCTTAAGATAAAGAACTAGTAGCGTCGCAAAACGAGCGGACGGACGGACGGACGGACAAAGTGGCCATACAATAGCGCATTTTTTTTTGTGGAAATGCGCTAAAAATATGTGTTCATCTGAGTACAAGTAGATAACACAATTACTGAGCAAATCTTGTGAAACAGAAAATACGGAAAGTAATTTATTTTTTGCAATTCTAAAAGCTCATGTAACGTTAATAGTTTCCTTTACAATTACCTCGAATTCAAAGATTGACACATGGGCGTCGCGAGTGTGTTAATTGAACGAGAATCGAAAAACACTTTCTTCTCAAGTTTTACACATATTTTTTTCTGAAACTAAAATCAGAACTGAAAAATTATCTAAAAAATCTATATACGATATGTGTCAATTTTAAATGTCATTATTAAGATTAACGCTGCAATTGTTTTTTACATTTCCTCACTAGAGAGGGAAATCGCATTTTCTTCACCCTTTTTAGACACGAAAGTAGTTTCAGAAAAAATATATTTTTTCTTCCCTCTATTCCTATTCTATATCCTAAGTAAAATCACAACTAAAAGTGCTCGTATACCTATGAATGGAATGTAAATGTCGCGTTTTAGAAAATAGGAAGTCGTAAAGAGGTTTATAAAAAATTCAAAAGTAACATTCATACAGCATATTGCAATAAAACCAAAAGGTAAAATTCTTGTTAAGTTACGCATTACAACCTATGGTCGGAATTTAAAGTAGTAACCAAAACTAGAATTCGAAAAGTGCGGTTTCTATGTCGAACTTTTTATATACTTTTACATAGTTCAATTCAGAATACGTTGTGTGCCATCAATTACAATGCACTTTAATTCGAATTAAAGGCGCGTCTTTCTCTCATTTTAATTATTAACGAGCTCTTAGCGAGTTTATAATTTTGTTGTGTCTGTCCGTCCGTCCGTCCGTTAGCACGATAACTCATAAACGAATGGACCGATTACGATGAAATTTTGCAGGTGGATTCTTTATCAAATTTGTAGATCGGAGTTCGTGAATTGGCAATGTAGCCCAAAAAATAAAGTAGGCCCTTTTGACATCTCCGTTAGTTATGAACCAAATTGCATGAAATTCAATATGCGCATAGCTTTAGCCATATAAAACACAATTGCAAAAGTTGAACCTAATCGATCAGCATTCACAGTGCCCTTGGCGCATCTCGACCATTTACAGACCGAATTGCAAACTTTCTTATTTATGAAGGTATTTGAATGAAATTTGATACATAGCCACTTGGAATAAAAGTAAATTTAACGCCAGTGCGCAGTGACAACTTTCTGATTTATAGGGGGATTTAAATGAAATTTGGTACATAACCACTTGGAATAAAAGAAAATTTAACATCAGTTTCAAAATTTGGTTTTGCTTAAAAAATAATAATTAATGCAAGAGAAGAAAGTTAGATAGGTACCAGATCATATTGGCATTCATGAAACAAACGTCATACCCTCGCGATGTTTCAATTCAGTTACGATAATGATAAACAGATGTATGTACACATGCAAACACCTGCAATAGCCCATTAATTGATTGATATTGATTAATTAACAAGTACAATGAATAATGGAAGTTGTAAATCAGCATATGCACGCTTAAAGCGCATGTTTGGTAATACAGGTCAGTATTTTATTAGCGAAGTTTAAAATGATCGATCTCACGAGTAATTTTGGCTGCGTTAAATAATTAATTTTATTTAATTTCAATTAAAGGTACGTCTTTATTTTGTAAAACAAATTACAAAGTAAATAAATTAAACAAATATAGCAAACGAGCTCCTGGGTATGGCTATAGCATGTGCAAAACCAAATTTTAAACCTGATGTTAGTTTTGCTTTTATTTAAAGTGTATATGTATGAAATTTCATTTGAATGCCTCCATAAATAAGCTGCGCATGCGCAAAACTAAATTTTGAAACTGATGTTAAATTTTCTTTTATTCCAAGTGGTTATGTACCAAATTTCATTTAAATCCCCCTATAAATCAGAAAGTTGTCACTGCGCATGCGCAAAACCAAATTTTGAAACTGGTGTAAAATTTGGTTTTATTCCAAGTGCCAATGTATCAAATTTTATTTAAATCCCTCCATAAATAATAAAGTTGGCACTGCGCATGC